AGCCTGAGAGCGGCCACGGCCATAAGAGTTTCTGTCATAGCTTTTCGTGGACATGGTTCTATTCCGTGCTAAGTTTGTGGACATGGTTCTATTCCGTGCTATGAAAACACCAACGTGGTGGGGATACGCACACAAGCGAGAACCGTCGTCATACATCAACATAATATGTCTGCACAACTCCACGAGCGCACACGGACAACGGTCTCGCTTGTGTGCGTATCCCCACCACGTCGGTGTTTTCATAGCACGGAATAGAACCATGTACACAAACCTAGCACGGAATAGAACCATGTCCACGAAAAGCTATGACAGAAACTCTTATGGCCGTGGCCGCTCTCAGGCTTCTCTCTGTTGATAGACAGAGAGTTACTGTTCAAAGTACGTTGTCTCTGTCGACCATGAAGACATCTTTTCAGCCAAACGCGCAGTCTATATATTCTACGTCTATAGATATCTTTTCATACAGCAGCATGCTGCGGCAGCAAAACGTCACGTGACTTAAATTTTCTAGGACTGCTTCCGCTAGGTATATTTGCTGCTCTTACCTAACCCTTATTCGATGCCATTCTTTGTTGTTGATGGAAGTATATAGTTATTGCATAAGTATCAAAACAATAAAATTTTCCCGGTTTGCTGCTTTTTGTTCGTTTGAACTTCGCAGAGAATGACATCGAGTGAGAGTTAGGTAAGAGCAGTAAATGCTACCTAGCGGAAGCAGTCCTGGACAATTTGCGTCACGTGATGCAAATTTTCTTTTGCTGCCGCAGCGTGCTGCTGTATGAAAAGGTACCTTTGAAATATAGCATTTTAGTAATCTTTAAAGATACCTTTTCATAAACATGGTACCTTTAAAGGTACCTTTTCGTAAACATGGTACCTTTTCATATACGTAGCATGCTACGGCAGCAAAGCGTCACGTGACTCAAATTGTCTAGAACTGCTTCTGCTACTTATCTCAATCGATGCCATTCTCTGCGTTATGTTGGAATTTCATGTGCAATAATATTACATGAAATTCTATCAACTTAACGCAGAGAATAGCATCAAATTAAGTATAGTAGAGGAAGCAGTTCTACATACAATTTGAGTCACGTGACATTTTTGCTGCTGTCACAACGTGCTGCGTATATGAAAAGATACTTCAAAAATCGGGACGCAGCGCCGGAACCGGCCAATCACGTTGTTCAAACCGACCTACGACCTGCGATCTATCACATATGTCTCAGTTAAATGCTGCTCCATTCGACAAATTCGAGAACAGCACTCGTGTGCACACAAACGTCATTTTATCTTTGGGTGCTTTCCAACTACGTATGTACACAGGCGACACTGTGTCCACTAGTGTGAGTGAGACACACTGATATGCTCTTTCTCACACTAACGGACACTGTGTTACACAGTGTCGCCTGTGTACGTAGTTGGAAAGCACCCTTCTTCTTCTTCTTCTTTGCACTTATGGCTCCGTGCCCCTGAACTGTTTAGGCACCGGCCAGTCTTTGCAGTTGGAAAGCACCCTTTTTATCACTCATTAGATATAAAACATAGAATGACGCTCGTCGTGTGACACGAGCGATGTTCTCCGAACGCAGCCAAAAGTAGGGTTTTTTTTTGGAATCTGCGAAGTCACTGTCCGCACGATGGCGCACGCATAGCGCGCGCGAAGCCCTCTAACCACGTGGTCAGCCGGCGTCGCGGTGATTGGCTAATAATGCGACATTTAAATCTACGGAGCCGTTGCTTGTCTCTTCCGCGATCGGAAAAACATCAGTTCGAATAAGAGTCGAGACGATCGGTGGTGTACTTTGAAGCACGTAACGTGGCGCGCTCAACGTAACTTTTTTCTTTATCGGAATTCACGGCGCGTCACCGCGACACAACTTGGACAAAAAGACAAACGTTCTCGACGCGGCTTTTCCGTGCATCATCGCTCTCGGTTTTTTTGGCGATTGCGGTGTACCTGAGCAAACAGCACCTCGTTTCTGTTCGGCGACGTTGAGCTAGGAGCGCAATTCGCAACACAACAGGAACGCACAGTACGGGAGTGTAAAATGTCGCGCGAGGAAGAAGAAACCACACACATACCCGATGTGATATATGATGCGAACACCGGCAAGAGCTACATGAAGGGTCGGTTTTTCGGAAAGGTAAGAAAAACTCTCGAGAGCTCGCGCCCTTGGGGCCTTGCCTTCTCGCGACCTTGATGATGGTCGTGCGTTGCTTTTGCGTTGCGACACGGACATTTGTATTCGCATGTACATTTTTGGAAGTACTTTTTTGGCGCCCGACAACGTGTCTGCGTGCCGTGAACGTGACTCGAGTTTTGCTGAGAAAAGCAGCTTCTTGAATCACGCGATAAACCGTATTCTATTTCGTATTCCATATCAATGAAATTCAAGAATTAGTTCAAGCAACGATATGCCGCTGTTGGAACATCATCCTGAGACATTTGGAAATCGACGATTTGTTTATGCATATTTTCTAACGTGTAAAATATGGATTTTTTACACGATGTCGCTTCTTAAACTGTAAACACATTGCACCTGACACCTGTTGCATTTTTGTAAGCTATATATTGTTGATATACAGATGATCACGTACAGAGATTAAAAAATGTAACCTAGATTATTTTGTGTTGCATTGCGTGTTGTTAACTTTTGTGTATTGTAAGAAAAATGTTAATTATATATAATATTTGTTATATAACATATATATTTATATAAATTTTTTACAGTTTGTGATACTTGTTTAGACTTTTATCTTGGAAAATGTTACTTCATCCTTTGTTTGCTCTCATCTTATCTACTTCTGTCTTTGTTTCTTTTGTACAGGGTGGTTTTGCAAAATGTTACGAGATCACAGAGTCGAAAACGCATCAAGTATATGCTGGGAAGATAGTGCCAAAGTCGTTGATGGCAAAGAGCAATCAGAGGGAGAAAATGACGACGGAGATTGCAATTCATCAGACCTTGAATCACAAAAACATTGTCGGCTTCCATGGCTTTTTCGATGACTCTCACAATATATACATTATTCTTGAACTTTGCCGAAAAAGAGTAAGTGTTCTTACAGAATATCAGTCAAAAAGTTTTATGTATATATAGTATACAAAAATACACGAATCATTATGTATTCAATGTTCTAGTCAATGATGGAATTACACAAACGCAGGAAAGCATTGTCAGAATGTGAAACTCGATATTTTATGAAACAAATCTTGGAGGGCGTGCACTATTTACACAAGAATAAGATAATTCACAGAGATTTAAAGTTAGGCAATCTATTTTTGAATGACGACCTGCAAGTTAAGATCGGTGATTTTGGATTAGCAACTAAATTGGTACACGAAGGGGAACGAAAAAAGTAATCAAGACAATGAAATACAGTTTAGTTAAAAAAAAAAAAAAAGTTTTGTTTGACTGATTGAGATATTTTTGATAGAACTGTTTGCGGTACTCCGAATTATATAGCGCCGGAAGTGTTGACAAAAGTCGGACACTCGTTTGAGGCCGATGTGTGGAGTATCGGCTGTATAATGTACACCTTGCTCGTGGGTAAGCCGCCTTTCGAGACATCAAGTCTGAAAGAGACATATGCTAGAATTAAAATGGTGCAGTACAAGGTGCCTCAGCATATCAGTAAACCCGCCGGGAACATGGTGGCGAATATGTTGCAGCTGTATCCTTCGAAACGTCCAAGCGTCAATAAACTGATGAAAGATGTCTTCTTCACTTCTGGTAATGTGAACAATCACTTTTTCAAAAAATTTTATGGTTTTTTTTGTTCATTAAATACTGTTTTCTTCACAAAGCCATTTATATAAACAAAAAGATACATCTGTGACAATTCAAAATATCGTAAAGTTAATAAACTTCAATGTTGTTATTATTTATCACTAAATATTTATGTGTCATATCTGTTGAGATAAGAATGAAGGAATTGATGTACATTCTATCTCTGGATTTAAAAGAGTTGTTTCTTGTGTTGCAACTGCTTCTTTGTTTTCTCTCTTGTGTGATTGTTCAAATATGTTAACTGTAATGTTGCAGGATACATGCCAACGAGCTTGCCGCTCTCTTGCCTGACAATGGCACCGCGTTTGGACATGCTCGAGTTGCATTGCAATCGTAAGCCACTCGGCGAAATGAATCTTAATGGCTACTCAGAACAGGATATCCTCGCCTCCAGAGTACCAAGTCCGTTACGAAAAACGAAGACCACCACTGAATGCACGAGTGCTCAAAGAGCTACCGAAATCACGAAGATGTTGTCTACATTGAGGGCGCAACTGGCCACCGTACTGAAAGCCAAACCCGCTAAAGAGATAGCTTCTTCAGCAGGTGTGTTAACAAAACTATTTTTTTCTATCCATAAGGTGTATAAAAAGTTACAAGCTATTTTTCCGGGATCTAGACACACACAATTCTTTTTTGTTATTTAATTTAATAAGGTTCGCTCATAGTTGAATAAGATGCTGCTCTGATCATCCCAGGATGTCGGAGTGACGATTTTTCCAATTTGGTTTTAACGCAATGTCACAAATTTTTTGGTAGTTTATTTACAAACATCCGTTTTTCACTATTCGCTCGGTTTTGCCTATTCGATCAACTTAAAAAGAGCAACGACAATTAACTTTTACTTAGACGATTCGATCCGTACGCTAATATACATTTATTTCTGAATTGTTCTTAAACTTGTTTACGAATATACTTTTGCTGAGAATTATGTGATAGTGTGAACAGTATTTTTATACAAAGAGTTTGGCAAGTTTGCACGTGTCTTAACGGACAGATTAAATTCAAACAGATTTCAGTCATTCAAAAAAAAACAAGATTAATAAAAGCGTAAACATGTTGTTAGCTTTACTATGTGATTTCGACATACATTTCCAACGGATTGTTGCTGAACTAATGGCTGACTATTACGGCATACAAAAGTCTCCTACGTCGTTTGGACACGTAAAGAGAAAACATCTTCAAAACACAAGTGATTATCTTTTGTGTAGCAAGAATCAATCTAGAGAAAAAACTTTGAAAAATAATGCGTTTCAAACATGTAAATAATAACGTGCAACAGAGATAATAATATATAAATGTTTTGAAGAGTAAAAAGTGATAAAAAAAAAGCTTTTTTAGTATTTAGTAAAATAAAACATCTTGTATATAATTCTGAAAACGTTCTAGTTTTAATACACCTTTCACCACACCGTCTAAGTAAAAGTTAATGTTGTAACATCAAATTAACATGTCAGGCATATTTTTATAACCGGAATACACACACACACACACACATGTGTGTATGCGCATGCAGAGTATTGTTTTTTTTTTTTTTCTACGTTAATAACTGCAATTGGCTGCAATTATTGCATGTAGTAGTTTGTGTTTTACTACAAAGCACAATTTTTTGTTTTAAAGTCGCAGATGAGCTGACCGATCCAGCGGCGCAGCCTGTGATCTGGATTAGCAAATGGGTAGATTATTCGGATAAATACGGCTTCGGATATCAATTGTCTGACGACGGTATCGGCGTAATGTATAACGACGGCACCCGTTTGATCATGTTGGCCAACGGCTTCAATATTCACTACATCAATCGTGAGGGCGAGGAGGTGTACTATACGGTCAAGGAGTTCCCGGAGCATCTTGAGAAGAAGATGAAGTTGATGAATTTCTTCTTCAAGTACATGAACGAACACTTGATGAAAACAGGCGGTTCCGTCGCGGTAAAGCAGAGTGACGCTCTCTCTAGAATACCTTACATGCATCAGTGGTTCAGAACACAGTCAGCTGTGGTGATGCAACTTACTAATGGCACAGTGCAAGTGAGTGTTAACCAATCGGTCATCTTCCTCGTAAACTCTCTCAGTTTTCCTCTTCTCTACATTCACTGATTATAATAATTGATTATATAAGTCGTTGTTTTCAAGTGTGTGTCTCTATATTTAGCGATTACACTTAAATGTCTTCACAAAAACAATCTTTTCTTTAGGTCAACTTCCAAGATCACACGAAGATCATCATGTGCCCGCTAATGTCCGCGGTTACCTACATTGATCACGACAAGAACTTTAGAACTTATAGATTCCAGACCATTCGGGAACGAGGTTGCTGCGCGAGATTAGCAAAGAATTTGGAGTACGCGTATCACAAAATCGGACTGATGCTGGAGAATAATGTTCGATAAAATTCGCCCGTGGCGAAAAGGAACAATGAAAGAAATAAAATAAATCAAGTGCTGTTGCCCTTTATAGCACGATAAACTAATTCAGAAACGCGTCACACATATATAATTTATTTTCTGACAAATGTTTTTTTATATGAATCCGTAAAAAGAAAGAGAAGAAAACAGCTGCTAGAGAAGAGAAAACGGGAGTTTTGCACTTGTATTCTCCCTCTCTGCTCAATTTTTGTATAGACGTATAGAATTTTGCTAGGCGATTTTTTTTATCACTTTTTTTTTTTTTTTTTTTTTTTTAAATCACTTAGTAAAGAGAAGGAAAGTTAGAAAAAGAGGGACTAAAAGACTAATTTCGCAATGGAGATGTCCCTCGCGAAGAAGATATCCTCTAGCTTTGTATCCAAGAGTACGCGCTATTCCTTTATAAACACTATTCAGAATTAATCAGATCAGATTTCGTCGATCTTCCGTCTAATTTTCAATGACAATAGACGCAGTTTTCAAACTGTCTCGGGTTAACTCTGATTAGTGTTTATCGTTCCAAAGATAAACTCCTTCACTCTCGCGTTCTCATTTCAAACTCCGAAACCTGATCTTCCATCGCGCGCGCAAATTGCTGATCTTTCGGGAATTGTTTGTAATTCCGCGAGAGACTTCGCTGTTGAGATGAGTTGTTATTTAGACCATCCGAACATAGTTTGCTCTGACTTCGCGACTTTGCATTGTTCGAGTAGAAAATTCGTGCCACAAAAAAAACAAACAAAAGAGAAGAGACTTATATTTTGTAAGAGGAAGCAAGGCGGAGCAAAAGTAGTCATGATTCGACGCAGTAGTGCAATCTAACGTCGACTTCGTTGTCGTAGCTGAGAAAGAATTGAATAAAGCTAGTCTTCCGACTGTCGCGATGATTTATCCATCGCTTCCGAAGATTTGCTTGATATAGAGTTTTTAGCTCGAGTCGTTCGAAGCAGTGTAATTTGAAATACGAATATATATGAATTGTTGATAATCGTCTCAATGACAAGATTCAATTGTGTGTTTATCAAATAAAATCTCTTTCGCGAGGTGGATAATTCTATAAACTTTGTATTTATGTGTGTTGAAAAAAATTTGATCTCTTTTCTAATGACGTTGATATATAAATGATTAAGAGCATGTTGATTACACAAAAGCGAAAACGTAACACAACTGATGACGAAATATATATACGCATCATGTTAATTTGTTGTCTTGCAATGTTTTTATTTATGAAGACTTTATCTGATAGACCTGGTTTTTTTCTTTTTTTTTTTTTTTATATATATATATTTAGTTTTCTTCTACGAGACAAAAGATATGAAATTAAAAAATTTAAATGACACTGCAAAAGAGGCTTGTTCTGAATTTTGTACAGTACGGGGAGAATGAAGGTACATAAATGTTTTAAATTGTTCTATAAATCGAATGCTCGATATATTCTCTGTCGAATTAATAATAAATATTCATTACACATGTTTATGTTCTCTTGTACATTGCTTCGATCGGCCGAAGGAAGCTCAAAAGAACGAATCGTCAGTTATATTTAACTACTTAACAACTAACTACTTCATAAGAAGATCATTTTGCTTAGTAGAAAACAAACAAAAACAAATGACTTTACGCGAAGACTATTATATTTTTTACGAAGCTAAACATAATCACGGTATATCAACTAAAAATCGATTTGGTATCGTGCGTACGATTCTTTTATGTTTCTATTGTTATAGAACTTACGTCGGGGCTTTGTTTAGATTTATTGTAACTATTAAAATTTTTACGAGAATTTTAACGGTTTTTCTCATCGACAATGCGAAAATTCTGAAATCCCGTCTTGATTACAAATTAGTTGTCATCATTGTACGAAAATTTGAGACAAAAAGAAAACAAACGACTTTGGATATATAATAGCAATTTGACCGAAAAAAAAAAAAACACTTTCATAAAATTGCGTAAGTAAATATCTAATTCCTGATGAAGAGACTGTATTTACTTTCGCGCAGACCATGGGCCTGACATGGTACATGGATCCTATTCTGTCAGAATTTACATGTTTAGTAAACTTACTCTGAATTTTAAGTATAAAATACATAAGAATTTAATAATTATTAATCATTACGTGCTATAATTGAAACGCGGTTATTAGCTTATGATTGACGTTACACATTACGTTAAGTTAGATAAGTATCTGAAGACAAGGAAATTTGTAATATGCTATATAAAAAAAAAAAAAAAAAAAAAAAAAAAAGGGATGTAAATACATTGTTGGTAACAGATAAAATTATT